TAGCCAGCGGGATGACATCCTGATCGGGGGAAGAAATACTGAGGAGCATGACAAAGCATTGGAAACCGTTTGCAGAGAGCGGCTGATTTTGGAATCACATTCAACCTCGAGAAATGCCAATTGGTGTCAAAGAAATCGACTTTTATGGACACCGATTCACTCAAACGGACTTAAACCAAGCCCTGAAAAGATTAGAGCAGTGCAAGAAAGCAAAGCACCTGAGTCAAAAGAGGCTGTGCGAAGTTTTTGGGTATGACAAGCTATTGTCGAAGTTTATCCCTCGATATTCATCGATTACTGCACCGCTGAGAGCATTAATACACAAAGACATTAAATTCCATTGGGGATCGAAGGAAGAAGAAGCATTCAGAAAAGTTAAAGAGAGCATCACCAGCGAAAGCACTGTGGCTTTCTTTAACCCAACTAGACCAATAATTGTGAGAGTCGAAGCCAGCTATCACGAGGGACTATCTGCGGGACTATTTCAGGAAACCAAGAAGGGACTGCAGCCAGTTCATTTTATTAGTCGCACGATGACGGAAGTAGAGAAACGGTATAGTCAGACCGAGAAGGACGCCTTAGCAGTACACTGGGCCAAGAACAGATTTAGTATTTATCTCCTCGGAGCACCAAGATTCAAGATCATCACTGCACATAAGCCATTAATTCCACTATTTAACAAGGCTACCATCAAGCTGCCCCCAAGAATTGAGAAGTGGGTGATGGGTATGCAGGATGTTGACTTCGAACTTGTATACAATCCAGGCAAGAATGAAGCAGATCCACTCGATTTCCTTCAAGACACCCACTACCAGAGACAAGTCGAGACACCATAGAGGAAGTTGTGAAACAGGTTATTACTGAAGAACATGCTGTCGTGTTGATCAAATTCTAGAAGAGACGCAGGAAGATACCCAACTCCAGAAACTGTCAGAGAGAATCTTAAGAGGAGACGGAGCAATACAGGAAGGATCCAGACATCAGTCCTTTCTATGTATACGGTACGAGCGTACTCTGTCAATGGCATTATTTTCCGGATGGACCAGATTGTTATTCCCACACGATTACAGAGGAAAGTTGTCAGAGCAGCACATCACTTAGGACATCTGGGCATGACCAAAACTAAACAAATGCTTCGCGAGAAGTATTGGTTTCCGACTATGAATACAATGGAACAGATCGTTGGGCAATGTTTAATGCCAAGTCACAACAAAGCAACACAGCAAAACCAGTAAAACCGACGGCGATACCGAAGAAACCATGGGACGTAATCGCTGTGGACTTGGAGGACCTATCCCGATGGCCATTATAACCTTGTAGCTATCGACAAAAGGACTAGATACCCCTGAAGTTGCAAGAGTTAGTTCTACATCTTTCTCACAAACGAAAGAGAAGCTGAAAACCATGTTTGCCACTCATGGAACTCCTAGATATCTTGAAAGTGACAATGGACCACCATTCCAATCCAAAGAATTTGCCGAATTTGGCGAGGACCGAAGGATTCCAACATCATCGGGTTACCCCAGGACATGCACGAGCAAATGGTGAAGCGGAAAGTTTCATGAAACTTCTGAACAAGACAGAGAAGATCGCACACTACAAGGTCAGAGTAGTACCATAGCAATTCAAGAAATGCTGACTGGATTTCGATCGACACCACATCCAGCCACCGGTGCAACACCATATGAAGCAATGATGAATAGACTAGTGAGGACCAAATTGGACCATCAAGCCAGTTCATCAGATCCTAAAATTCAGAGGATGCTACAATTAACAGGAAGGATGGGGCATACAAAGAAAAGATGACCCGCACAGCTCACAAAAGAAACGTTAAAGAGCATAACTTCATTGTTGGTGACCATGTTCTCCTGAAGCAGAAGAAGACAAATAAGTGGTCAACAGCATACGAGCCAGCAATCTATATCGAACTCGTGTTAATGGATCAAGCATCGCAGCTAGACGGATTAAAGATGGTCGAGAAGTCTATCGCGACGCCAGCCAGTACAAGCTTGTGAACATGTTAGTCCGTGGAAATGAACATCGAGGACGAACAGATGAAGAAGAAATAATTTCAGAGAATGAGAGAGAAACCTTGATGAAGAATTTTGGCGAAAATGAAACAGAGCATCAAGAGCACGCAGAGAGTAACGCAAGTACCAACAAAGGAGAAGAAACTAGAAACACCCCAGGAATGGAAATTCAACAGGCTGAAACTCAACAAGATGATAAACCACAACTTGAATTACCACCACCTGAGAAACTACAACCACTAAGAAGATCAACGAGGAACAGAAAAAAACCATTATATTTGACAGACTACATAACGTGAACATTTAAGTATCAACATTATTTAGCAAAAGCAGAAAATGGTAAAAAAAAAAGGGGTTACTTACTTATAATCTATATTTAAGGGAACTGATAGGGACTAAAAGACATTCTAACAGTTTAATAGTAGTTTTATATTTTAATTATTTCCTATCTTTGGAAAAAAAGGAGAAATGTAGTATCCGGTAATTAGTATTAGTTAATTAGTATGCATGAATTAGTATTCCACTATCCCAATATGCTATTGTTAGCTGTATATAACTAGGGATCCAAGGATAGTGCAAAGTTTTCATGCCCTGTAATACCTAAGCAACACGTTTTCCCAACATAAACATTTTGACTTAAGCCAGTAAAAATATAATGAACTAGGTTAAACAATAATCAAAAGGAAATTACTCAAAGTACTCAAGTTACGTTAGTCGCAAATACTGTCACTATTAAATTATAATTTTAGTTGCCCATATAAACCGGGCGCGATTTTCTCAGTTTAGTCTCTTTTCTTCGTCAAACAACTGTGACTACATTCACTACATTTATATGATGGCAACAATTTACTGTCATTTCATAAGAATAGCAAAAATAGTTGCGTTGTAAAAAATGTAAATAAACCGCGCTGCATATTATGTCTATGATGTGGATACTTCGACGCGTAAATCGATACAAAACAATATACTTATAATCAATACTGTATACCGCCAAAATGATTTGATTACTGCACAAAATGCCCGTTTTGTATATTTATGTACTGTATGCAGAATACCAGGTATCGACTTGCTTATAATATATATTCGTCGTAAGAGATTAGAGATCTATCAATACATAAACAACACAGCGTCGTTTCTTCCTAACCTCTTATGTAGCTCTATTTATGGAATAAACCTTCCAAATTATTTGTGTCGAATTGAATGCTCGTAATTCATAACATAAGTTCATAAATTGCGTAGATTCTCAAAGAATTGCACGATTCTTACGCCCGGAATGTTTTGAAGCAATGGTCGTCGCTCCTCGTTTCTTTACATCGTAATGTTGAAGGCTCGACGGCACATGCGCAGTTGCGACGTATAGGAAAAAAATCGGGTGTTCCGGGGGCAAATCTGCGCAAATCCCTTTGAAACAAAACCCAAACCGCGGAAAAGCAATGCTTCAAAATTTACAGTAACGGTCAAAATTCCTCAATATTTTGGTGAACTTAGCAAAAGGGATGTAGAGAATTAATAAATAAAGCAAGTTAAACTGATTTAAAAACTTTAAATTACTGATCATATACAAAAAGGTAGTATACGCATAAATCAATCTACCCCCCGTAAAGTTTACACTATGACTGACTGTCTGACTGACTGACTGACTGTCTGACTGACTGACTTACTGACTCGTTTGAATTTTCGCCACTCATCACAATACTGCAAAGTTTCTCAAACTTTGCACTAAAAAGGATCCTATGTTTTGTATTAAACATTCTTATATGTTCGGTGAGTTGAGGTCATTACAGACACGTCGTAGTTTGCACAGGATTGAAGATTTAATATAACTATATAAGCTCGAATTCCAAAGGCAAAGTGTAAGACAAAGCGAATGTATCATGCGGTTTATTTACATTTGGACGCGTCCTCCTTTCGCTGTTGAATATGTTTTTTGCAACGAATTAAAAATAAATGGAGAAAATGTGATCTGATACTGGTTCGTTGAAATATCTTGGTGAAAATTTCCATGTCGAGGCCGCGTTTTGCTTAGAACAATTAACTATGGAAAAGTCGCAAATATTGAGTGTTGAATTTCAATAGGTTTTTACAGAATCTGCAGAGCCGAGGCAGAAATACGCGATTTTTCCCATGATTTTTAATCGAGGTCATATTTGGTAACATACGGTATATATTATTAAATGATAAATATACACCCCTCTAAATTAAGCTTCTAGCTACTTCCCTGGATCCTTGTTTGCGAACTACAAAAATCTAAGGGAGCACATTCACGCTGTGACATTGTTTTTGTGTATTTTGCCTACTAGATTGTTTGTGATGTATCGCGATTTGCTTAGGTAATACCAAGACATAGACTTGTCAAAGCAAAATCTCAGCCACCACAATTTAATGTTTGAGGCTATTGCATGTCAAGGCTAACACTTCAGCAAAGACACATTGAAAACCTCATTTAGTCAATCATGAAAAACAGTTTTACCCACAGGCGGAATTTTTCGATCAGACGAATTTTTTCACTTTTTTCAATCTTTTTTTCTTATGTAAATAGATCCTTTCGATGATTACGTCAAACATTGTTAACTGCGTCGGAATGACGTGAGCTCATAGTTTTGATGTGGATATTATTATCATTTCTTGTGGAGCCGGGCGCTTGCTAGCCTGCGGGTTGCAACCCTAAAGAAGGCCTGATGCGCAGGCTAATCTGACAAACGAATCGCCATGTTGAATTTTCATGAGGAATACATCCCGATTCTTGATTCCTGAAGATCACACAGAGATCAAAATGCCACGGCTAAACGTGACGCAGATTTAAATGAGATGGATTTACTCTCACAAGCAATAAAATATTTTCTTCAACAGATGCAGGTAAAATAACTTTTATTTTTCTACAGTGACACCAAAACGAGGTTTCCAGATCACGATCGTGTTTGGCTAACGTAAATCAATAAAATCTTGTCCCCTGAGCGATTTTTCCTGCTCTAGTTTACCCCATCAGATTCACGTGCGATTTTCATTTTTTGTGTCAATATTTAATAAAATTATGGCAGCATTTGGCATCATTAATAAGTAAAAAAGTTAAACTTTTTATATGCAGGAGGTAATTATTTTAATAAATTTGAACAACGAAATCTCTAAACAGTAGATATTGAACGAAATTTTGTTTGGAAGAGATTGAGTGAGTTATTTCCAGCCTGATTTATCACGCAGCCAAGTCTGGGGGATTTAATCACATATATATGAGGAAATATTCTGTTTAGCCTGAATGGGGCAGTAGTCAGGGTATCAGTATATCAATTCAGTTCTGAGTTCCCAACACTCACTCTTAACTACAAACGACCATCAGACAATTTTGGCACACAATTATTCATTCAACACTTGGTCTCAACGTTAATCGAGGAATAATATTCATACCCATCAGTTCTTGGAATAATAGTTTTGTCGCGTAGGGAATCTTGATTGAGGAAATATCATGCGAGGACTGACAGAAATGGCACCAGCCGGAATATCCTATTAAACCACATTTGGCGCATACGTCGACTTCAAACTGATCACTGGATATCATTAAACGTTCAACCAGCAGCATACTAGGAAAAAATAAAGATTGTCTTCAGGATAAGACGATTCTGCAAACGACCGTGTAGTTTGAACACTTTACAGCAGTTCAGCTAATTTGTATCCCTGACACTTTGTAATACTGGAAAGGGAGAAAGGCGCTATGTGAGGGACCGGTCATAAACCCCTATACCTGTTATAAACAAATATAGGGGTGGGCCACTATTTTTGAGATGCACGTTTGAATGGGTTAGTTATAGCAAGTTAAATGGAATCGAAAGGTGGGCTATATAAAAATATGCCGTAAATATTTGAAATATAATTTTACGTTTTTAAAAATAAAAATACAACATTTTATGATTCAAAAAACAAATTCACACATGATCTTTATATTTCAATGAAAATACCAATAAAAAACTATTTGGCAACGCTGAATCTTTCATTTCCCTGAAAGGTTGGGTCATAATTTTTCAGCACCAATTTAGATGGAGCATGAGCACTAGCAATATAAAAGTTTTGTTTCATGTAGTTGTTAGTTGTAGTTGACTCCAGTACTTGTAAGTTGTATAAGTTTTCGATAATAAATATTGTTATATATAGTCTTCCACTGTCATGAGCTTTAACAGGATTAACAAATTTTCGTGCTACTATGCATGAGGGGGTAGGCTAGCTACAAAAAATGCACACACAAAATGTGTGATTTTCCCAGATTACCCTCCCCCCCTTTTTTACTTCTTTTCTCGTCCTTAAGCAGGCACACCATACCTCGTTCCATAACCTATCAAACAATCTCTTTCCATTTCTCCTAATCGTAGTCCACCATCCCTAAATAATAACAGAAATATTCAAACCTATACACATAACACAACATGCAGTAGTGGTGACAGGAAGTTTTAAATTGCTATTCACGGTTTTAGATTCATCATAACTGAATTGACAGCTGCACCTTGAACGACCTTCAGTTGGCTGCCTGGTCAACACAGCTCGGGGGCCCTAAATAAAATGTAAAATAGTAAACTCCCACGTGGCAGAAAAGACAAGGTTGTTGCAGATCTCGGGCACAGTTTTTCTCGTCCGTTTTTCTCACCAGTTTTTCGCTGCCAATAAATAACATATATATTCAATTTACTTATTATCATCTTAAATATCTGCAATATCATCTAACAGAGGTCACCCTAAAACTTGTAGCTTGAAGCTACCAATAGTAAGACCCTGGTACCCCCTGGTACCCGGGTAAAAATATGATTAAAAAATCTTACCTTCGCTCGAGCGTGCATTTTATCCATGACCATGTGTTTTAATTTCTGATAGTACACAGGACCTGAATATATATAAGCCTCCAGAGGTTCACTAATAAAATATAGAAGATGAGCATTAAACACCATTCGGTTAAGTTAGCCATAAAACTTTTCCTGATAGGGTTAGGGTAAAGAAAATAAGCTAAACGTTTAAATTCTTGATTGGCATTGAAATAGTTATATACCCTGTTATGCCAGAGGTGAAGTAATCTTTTCCGTCATAATTAAAACCATGTTCAACCAAGACTTGACCGACATCATGTACTTTATCACCAGCAAATGCTAAAAATAAACAAACCATAAATTAAGTGCCGGGGAGTGAAGTCTTTATACAAATAAACGGTTTGTTAAATTGCTATACTTTTTAACTGGTGTAGCATTATCGGAGTAGGATCCCCACCAGAAAGATTAAAATATACGTGGATGATCTGGTATGGAAAGATGTCAGTGTTGTGATAGTATAGAGACATCCCAAACAAATATATTGAAAATTAAGAAATTACAGACTTACATACCGGTTCCGTATCGACGCTTCCCGTCCATGACACCAGCCTTCCCAGCAAGCAATTCGATCAATTTTCCAACTGTCATACGGGATGGGAATCCATGTGGATTCATGATCTAATAACATGTTTTTAAATTATGTATCCTACTGAAGAACTCATGCAGGCAAGATCGAGGCGTTTTATCTCATAATTAAAATGATATTAAGGAAATTTTAATAAACGGTCAGTTTTAGTAATTTATTTCACTCAATGGACCTTTCTAACAATGACGTCAAACGAGCAAAAAAGCCTGATCTTACACGAAGTTTGATTGTAAACTGAATGTACATCAGGCTTCTATGTTTGACGACATTATAAGAAATGTCCGCTGAAAAAAATTACTAATAGTAACTATTTCACTTTTTGTGAGATAAAGGTTATCAAGTGATTTAGGTATAACAGCAAATAACAAATTCAAGTGTTCGTACAAATTGTTAAATAAAATGATCGAGGTATATTGGAACAAAATTTTCAATTGCTAAGAAGTATCAAAAGAGATGTCAATTATGCGATTTATACCCAGCTGATCTGAGATCATAACGTCTTAAAACGTCTCGACAAAACTGAGTTATCATGTTCTGGTGTTATTTGTCCCTATTCTTCCAACTAATAGTATAAAGGGTGAAAAATTCAAATTCTAATTTAATGTTGGGAAAAAATAAACGTGTTTTCACATAAATATAATAAAATTACTTGATATACTCGAGTGTCGAAGTCATATGCAATGAAGGAAATGATAATTCAGTTTTGTCGAAGATCTGGCTTCTGATTGGTTGATTTTTATACCCAGATCAGCTGGACAACATCGAATTTTCGTCAACAAGCAAAAAGAATAGCTTCATAAATGTGGATTGAAATACTTACTATGTCAGGACAAATACCCTAAACAATGAAGAAAAAAGAGGTTAATACATGGGGCGGGAATATGTTTAAAATGATCGAATCATGCAACAATTAAACTGGATTGCAAAATAAATTGAATTAAATTGTTTGGCAATTGTATATTTTCCAGTTGTGAACGAAAATTATCACGACAATTGAACTGAAATTGCCCTATAGATCAAAAGTTTCTCTAAGAGATCGTGGTCCATTCCAAGGTTTAAACACACTAAGTGCAATTTTTGTATGCTGATTTTATTTCCCATCATGCTCTCTTACCACTTCATTAAACGGCATGTCTTCTTGATTAACAATAAGTCCCACCACTCTGAAATTAAGAAAATTAATTTACAAATACTTCCCATACCCGCGACTAGCCTTTGCCTCTTTACTCCGGCGTCAGCGACGGAGTTGAAAATTCGCCTCGGTTTTGTTTTGTTTTTGTTTTTTTTTATTATTTTTCGTCGTCGCAAGTCTGAAATGGCGCGAACCATTCTAGTATTTGAAATTTGTAAGTAACCGTATTTATCTACGTCCCAGATTTATCTCCCAAGAGTTGTGGTGTACAGCTTTGGCTAATTTTCCGATGCACGATTCGATTTCGCTCGCATGATACGGCATTCCTCCAAGAGGAACAAATATACCGTTGTTTTCATGCTGTTCGATTAAGTTCAGATTGAATTGGGGTAAGAATATATTTAATACATGTAGATTCTGGTCCTATTTTAATAATATCGCTGCTATTTCGCCGTTTAACAAGATGATGTGGTCGTGTATGGGCGCGTTGACACGTCGTAGTTCACGATGAAACATATACGATGAAATGAACTAATTTTTCTTTTACAGGATCGTTTTACTCACCCTTTTTGACCGTGTCTACTGCTGAATTTATCACCGATTTCCGGCCGTCGAGTTTGACGCAGCAAAATCTTGACAAGAGGATCCTGCAACAGACAAAATCAATTCAATAGAGACAGCTCTCTCATTACAGACACGTCTCTAATACAAACAGTGCTAGTGTAGATTATAACGGCCAGCAATCGACCATTTGCTGTCCAGACATTTTAACCGATCAAATACAGACATATACTGCATGTACATACAAAAAATTCTATCACTAAGATTTTATCAATTAGTTATTACCTTCCTTTTATATTGCAAACAAGCATATGACCAGTTTTATTTCATATTTGTATTACTTCAATGCGCACAAATTTTTCGACAGATCATCTGACCAATTACCTGGGGCCAGTTGTTCGACTGGCGTTTAGCTTAGACGGTGATTAAGTTCAAAAAACAAAATTAACTATTTATTGAACAACCGAGCCCAAATATTTCGATATAAAAACAGTTTTATTTTCAATGGGAGTACCTATGTAATGCATAAGATGCAGGTTCAGTCATTCACAAGATGTATGAGAATATTTTTAAACTTTGGCTTATCCACCGTTTAAACTAAACGCCTTTCGCACAACCGGCCCCAGGTGTACGTAGTATCGAATCATCAGGAAATTATCATTTTTGGCAAATGTCCGACCGCATGACCAGTTGATCGCACATTCCTCAGATAAAAGCGAAATCGTTTTGAACCACATTGAAGAGAGAACAAATGGGCAACCCCTCTTATACAGAGAACTATCCAGTACAGAAAACACTCGCATATATCCAGATAACTTTCTAATACGGACATCACACAGATGCAGATATTACAGACACGCTTTTCCTATACAGAAAGCTCTAATAACAAGACAAAAAATATTTACCCCGTCTTCATTAGCTGTCACCAAAACTTTTTCCGCAAAACAGCCTACCGGCCCTTTGTAACTAGAAAATTTATAGACATATATGCACATGTCAAACCAATGCAAGTGTCAGGCCAATGCACGTGTCAGACAAACGAGTGTCAGCCCAAAGCACGTGTCACACCAAATGAGTGTCAGGCCAAAGCACGTGTCAGACCAAACGAGTGTCAGACCAATGCACGTGTCAGACCAAATGAGTGTCAGGCCAAAGCACGTGTCACACCAAATGAGTGTTAGGCCAAAGCACGTGTCACACCAAATGAGTGTCAGGCTAAAGCACGTGTCAGACCAAACGAGTCTCAGACCAATGCACGTGTCAGACCAAACAAGTGTCAGGCCAAAGCATGTGTCAGACCAGATGAGTGTCAGGCTAAAGCACGTGTCAGACCAAACGAGTCTCAGACCAATGCACGCGTCAGACCAAATGAGTGTCAGGCCAAAGCATGTGTCAGACCAAATGAGTGTCAGACCAATGCACGTGTCAGACCAAATGAGTGTCAGACCAATGCACGTGTCAGACCAAATGAGTGTCAGACCAATGCACGTGTCAGACCAAACGAGTGAGAGGCCAAAGCACGTGTTACGCCAATGCACGTACATGCACGGCATGGCTATGTTTATTTTTACATTTACCTCACAGGGACGTCTTGGTATTCCGCTCGAGCTGGCATTCCTCCTAAAGACCAAGACTGATTTTACGTATAAGCAAAAACTTATATAAAAGTTTCAAGATCGTGTTTACTAACTCTTATTCATGCTCATTGGGCGTCGCATAGAAATTTGCTATTACAGGCGAAAGTGAAAGTTTTTTTTTAATCAATGCAAAAAGATTTAAGGTGAAGCACTTATAAGAAGCTCTAATAAGCCTTTATTCGAGTGGGAAAACAGTTCTGGAATCGTTACGACTTAATTGCGATTCCCCCCCCCCCAGTTATCGTTCCGGTTACGCCCCTGCGTATTTCTAGCAAGCCAACAACGGGCCCACGGGTACCTGGGCCTGGGTTAAATACAGGGCCGTAACTAGAACGATAATTTGTTTATTCATATATTCAGTTCTGCCCGACGGATTTCAATTGTGAGCTATTGCACTTACAAAAGAAATCCGTCGGGCAGAACTGAATATATGAATAACCCCCCCCCCCCCAATTATCGTTCTAGTTATGGCCCTGGTTAAATACATACCTGGACCTGTCTGTAAAGAGCTTGACACAATTGGCATGGATTTATTCACCAATATTTGACCGTTTTCAATCCTTTCGCCTGATGAAATAATAGAAAAACAAATTCCAAATTCTTCTTCCTTTGCAATTTCATGTAGGCAACAGCAACGGATCTAGGTCATTTTAGCCTACCTGGAGCAACGATACCATCTTCATCTAAGACTTTATGTCGCCAAATCACCTCCTTAGTCTGCGCGTCACGACTGGGGCCTAAGAAAAGTATTATATACGTAGCATGTTACCAACATGAGCTTGCCCAATTAAAATGTGTGAAATATTAATTTACAACTCATTTACTGGCCAGTTCACAGTATTCGGCTACAGAATACCTATCAGAAGGAGAACTCCATTTTTTTTTGCGTAAGTTGATTCGTCACACTCAGCAAGTACGGTAAATGGTGGCAATCGATAACCCCTCTGCCAACAGCCTATTTTCAATATGGGAAGAGGGTGATTGCCTCTATTAACGGTACTGGAAAAAACAACCCCCCCTGCCAACTGCCCTATTTTTAATTTTTGCAGGGGGGTAATTGCTTCCATTTACGGTACTTGCTGAGTCGCTTATGAAAAAAACAAAGGAGTTGTGCTTCTGATACGTATTCTGCGATTCGGTATTTTGCTACGTAACTTCAGCAGTTCAATATTCTTTTACGCGAGAAAGACTTTTAAAAGCCAAACAACTCGAACTTGAAAGCGCACAGAAAAATAGCGATTCCAAATGACTGAAGAGATCAAGTATAAAGGTGCTAATATCTCTTACCCATAACACGATCAAATGTCTAAATAAATAAACATAAATCATTTAATTTTATGGGAAATAATTTAACAAGCCATAATTAAGATAAATATCCTTATTTTAGAATTTCTGATATTTTTGCGATAGTTGGATAGTTGGGGTGACAATGTTGTTCACGACATTTAACCTTTTCACGTATTTAACGTACAAGCGAAAAATAATTATGGAGCGCACAGAAATGCTTGCCTACCTGATTGGCGTATCTCTTCAATAAACAATTTTGTTTACGATAAACTAAACATCGTCCAAAACCTATACAATACGGAGGAATGAATATACACTCAAATATTTACACAATACCAAGCTGTGACAGGATGGAATCAAATTGGACATATTAAGTACTTTTAGGACAAGCAGCAGGGAACCAAAAACCATTCACGTTTTGCTTATAGTGATTGTCAGGTATACCTTCAAACTAAATAAGTTTTAAGGTGTTAAGTGTAAGTATCCAGGTGTTAGTACCTCTATCAACAGATGCCTTGTTTAATACGAGAGCATCCTGGAAGGAAAAATTTGTAATCAGTTTACTCAAGATTTATATAATATTACTTCAGGAGGCTGGGAGCATAAAATGGGACGGATTGAATTATAAAGAAATATAGTTTCAGCGTGGGCATGATAACCTATATAGAATACGTCGAAAGAACGCTCGTAAGTTTTGTGGAGCCAATCGAATTTCGTGTGATTTTCCATGCACGTTTACAGTTATTATGAGAAAGGTTGGATATTAACCTAACCTCAATATCGTAGCCGCTATAACTCATCACAGCAATGGTTGCATTTTGTCCTTAATTAAAAAAAAAAAAAAAAAAATGGAAGTTGTCATTAAATGTGACACGAGAACTTGCATTGTTAGCTTTTGCAGCACTCTTCAGAGATAAACATACAAGTTAATTTCCAAGAAATTGGTAATTTTATAATGTGAATTAGTTGAAACTCAATATAGCAATAAATAATCACCTGCTGGAAGGTCGTCAAAGTGAATTAAATCAAGCGTCTGGGAAATAGAAATGGAGAGTGTAAATGCAAATTCTATCGAAACGTAGAGGTCACAAGGAATGACATTTACATCACAATTTTGGGGGTATAGTTATTGCCCAGGGTAACCTGTTGTACCTTCCACTTGGTTTAATAAAGCGATTGAAACAAACCCTTCGTTATTCAGAAAATAATTAGCCTCATTGATCTAGTCCCGAAATGAATGTTTAATTTTCAAGTAGCGCCTAAATATTTTCCATCGCAGAAAACGTTGCTACAGTGTATAGATACTTTCGCAAATACGTCGATAACCGGTCATATATTTTATGCCTGCCAGCAGAGTTTTGTACTCAAACAATCTCAAAACGCACTGTGACGCCCTTAAAGAAAAGGCTTCATTCACACCGAGTGCCCGGCATCGGTGCCCAAAGTCAAAAATTGCTCATAAAACTGCTAAGCACAGTGCTACTTGTGTACTACCTACGGAGGTAGTGCCCGTTCAACTAAGTTGCCAAAAAAGCAGTGCCGGGCACTCTGAACGCACTATAATAGCGCGAAAAGTTGGGTAACTTCCCATATTTTACATAAGCAATGCGATACAACAAGTCGCACAACCCTGTTTTTATAGAGCTATCGATTGAACATTTGCGAAGTGAAACAAGCAAGCCATAAAATATTAAACATTTTAAAAATATCGTTACCTTCGTCTTCACCATCGGTGCTTGTGGATAGACGAGATTATACAACAGAGAATCAATCCTTCAATTTAACAAATGAATTGTGGAAATAAAATTAATGAAAATCGGTGAAAGTTATTATTTGTACTAAAAAATTGTCTTGATGTGAATGAATTAACAATATGTTTGCTATTTGTTTGTTTGTTGTTTGTTACCGAAGGTGTGCAAGAACTAAGATATGGGGCATACAATGGCGCTCGGAGGATATTGTTTTTGGTTCCAGTTGCATGGGGATATAATGGTACCATGCACGTTGAAAAAACATAAGCAAAATTTGGAAAAGATTAACTTTGTTTTATCCCTAACAAAAATACACTTCGAAATCATAATTTTTTTTCTGATTTTATTTGAAAACATTTTTGCTACTTGGGAAATGAATTGCATGTAAAGAAACAGATATAAAACCGAAAAGTTTTTAATTTTACACAACCAAATAAGAATTCAATTAAGTACGTTAACTGAAATTCGTTAAAATATTAAACGCTGCACAAGCAATACCTGTTTCTCTGGTTATATCCAATAGTGCCTGTATAAAAAAACATAAAAAAGACTTCTTTACACGATCATTAGAATATAGGAACTACCGCATGTCAATTGTCTGATGGGCGGGGGGGGAGGCATCTCAAATTCGGGGGGCACAGCTTCCAGGGGTACTTTTGATGGTGGTTTATTGTCAAAACTGCAAGATCAAATAGGGTACTTTTGTTGCTTTCAATTTGGGGGGGGGGGGGCGTGATGCCTACCCATTGCTTGTTTCCCCATAGCACATTGATAAGTATTTCTTGGGGACTGGTTATGATGTGGATAAGGAACAAGACCAGCACAAACTCCAAGAATGGTAAACGGCTCAATCTCCAAATGTGTTGTGTCTCTAAAAGAAAAAAGCAATCGTTTTCTGTCTTTGAGCTTGTCAAAATTTGTACCTCTTTAATTCTGTACATTTTCCATGTAAACATACTCTCGCACTGGAGAGAATATGATACATAAATATATACACAAAACACAAAAGCTTGCCTAATCTTGAGACACCACTCTAAACTGTACATCTTTCTCAAACACACAAACGTTTTAATGCCATAATCAATCTATTATGGACACTTTTTTGACACAAATTTACTTTGGCTTCTCTTCTACGAACAAAACTCCATGAAGGAAACCTCTCTTGAGTAAAATAGACCAATAAGTATAAAATAAAAAATTCACCCGAGACAAAAAAAAAAAAAAAAAAAAACACTCCTTATACATGGATGCCTTCTATATTCAAATACATGGATGAACTTCTATATTCAATTTTCCATTCTTATACATATATATACATAGTCATATGTATATGTATGTTCATCGTCAATATATACGGAAAGCATGTTTATAATTAGAAAAAAAATGTTCACGTACTTTGTAATATGTTTCTCGTAAACAGCGATTAAACTATCGTTCTCTTCATTGACATCCAAATACTCGATCAATCCATCATGGAGAAAGTCTTGAAAACATCTTGAAAACAAATCATTTTATTTTAGATACGGAAAATTGTAATGTTCATTCTTTCATATATACAAATATTAAAATAATTACTCAATTATCTTTATAATTCTACATATTATGTTCAATCTCATTGAATAATTCCTAATTATTTTAGCCCACTTGTATACCTATTCTGACGTTAAAAACACTCCATGAATTTATTTATTTACATTATTATAAAAACAAAAAATTGTATAAGGGTAGGTTTTGTTAGTGACTCTGTTATGTTAAAATATCGTGCAAACCTTAATCCTCTGTCTAATTGTTGCATGTGTCTTTGATTAACTTTCGGTCGTCCGTTCTCGACTATTATATAAGGTCTAAAAAATAAAGTACAGAATGCTTAAGCAGCTAATATTATATTCTCTTCACTAATTTTTCATATTTTTTGCGAATTTTTCAAATAACTTAATTGAAACGATTGTTAACGATAGTCACAATGTAAATAAGGGCATAGGCAGCCCAGACATGTTTTCGTTCTCGTGGCGCTCGCGCGTGTACACGAGTCTACTTGGTCTATTATTATGACAAGGTTGGCAAGTTTTTTTACTAAAATATGCTACAACGTTTGCTACGGCCTGAATATCTTGCAAATTACAAATAAAAATAATATGAAAATTACATCGGTTTAAACGCCGGTAATTTGACTACATTGTACCGAAGTTTTAACTTCAAACGTTAATTTTAAGGATGCTAAAAAAGCAAATGTTTATCGATATTTTGACAAAATTTTGTCAAGATTATGCTAGTGGCACCTACCCTGGGGTGTCGTCATCATTTAGATCTGCAAACAAGAAACTGATTGGCTGTCGTTTTTTCAGTTGGAAATTTTGCACGCAAGAGCCAATCAGTTTTCTGTTTGCAATTCAAAATGATGACGACACCACAGGGTAGGTGCCACTAGCATAGTCTTGACAAAGTTTTGCCAAAATATCGATAAACATTTGCCTTTTTAGCATCCTTAAAATTAACGTTTGAAGTTAAAACTTCGGGAGAATGTAGTCAAATTACCGGCGTTTAAACCGATGTAATTTTCATATTTTTATTTGTAATTTGCAAGATATTCAGGCCGTAGCAAAGTACGTTGTAGTATATTTTAGTAAAAAAACTTGCCAACCTTGTCATAATAATAGACCAAGTAGACTCGTGTACACGCGCGAGCGCCACGAGAACGAAAACATGTCTGGGCTGCCTATGATAAGGGTATAATTTTGGCTTTAGTGATGTCACAAGGAGCATTTTGTCGCGAGCAAGTTATTTTCGTGGATGAGAAATAGTCCGGACTTATTTCTTTATTAGTCTTATTCCTTTATTTTAATAGTCTTTATTTCTGTGTTCAAACCGGTCATTGTTGAAATATTTTATCACATCAGCCACTTTGACATGCATGTTCCTGACAATTATGACTAAATGGAAACCAGGCTTCAGCCGCACAACACTTAAAATGCTTTGGGGAAACATGGGAAATAACAGAAATTCTGAATAATATAATTATAGATGGTTAAGGCATATCTCGACCAAGTTCAATTTATTATAAATAAAGCACATACCTACACACTCTGCCACCGTCTGAAGACATATGAATCGATCTGTGAAATAAATAGGGCATTGCAGAATAGACCTTTCTCATAATGACGTCAAACGCGGGATGTAAATGCCACACGAAGTTTGATTGGCTCCGCAAACCTAACGAGCCAATTATACTTCGTGTAATATCAGGCTTTTCGCGCCTGAATTCTTGTTTTTGGTTCAAATTTATTCGACTTACCGATTTGTTTCGTCCACGTATATGGAGTCAAATTCATTAACGCGACCAGCTAAACGTGTTATGTAAACGACAATGCAGTTATAATATAAATTGTGTTGTTTGAATCCCAAAAGATATGTTGTTAAACATAACTTCAGTGCCAAATTCATTAACGCGACCAGCTAAACATGTTAAGTAAACGACAATGTAAAAGATATGTTGTTAAACGAAACTTCAGTGACAAAGTCATTAACGCGACCAGCTAAACGTGTTATGTATACGACAATGCAGTTATAATATAAATTGTGTTGTTTTAATCCCAAAAGACATGTTGTCAAACGAAACATCACCGCGATAACATCAAAGTGGACAAACAAACTAACAATGTACCTCGTCTAAGAATTCTGAACGTTCTCACAAACTTTAAGTGATTCTGAATAACTCCTAGGATGTTGCCTTAAAAAGCAAACGATAGAAAACCCAGTAAACACAACGAATTCATTATCAAACTTCAAAGGGGAAGTTGTAATAAATACCCTTTTGAGGCTGAGTTCATCTATATTTAAGGGTTTAATATAGCGCAATCACTATGAACGCAAGAAAAAGAGACATACCATTTAAAAAGACAGTATATACAGAGGGATAAGTCAGTTCTTCACCACAAAGTAAATTGATGTCCTATAAGTAATACGAAATTGGCGAAACTTTAGATTAAAATAGCTCATAAACAAAACAATATATTATTACGTATAATACACCAGACAGCACAACAATTTCAATGTAACATCAGGCTTTTCGCATTCTAGGTCATTATAAGAAAGCACTATTCTTTGAGAAAACACAAAACTCTGTCATAAAATGTTACACCGCAAAATAACCAGATTCACCGGTACTATTTTATCATTTTTTGTGGGCAGTGGCTGGGCATGCGTAGCTAGTTGCTATGTCACCATTGATGTAACAACATGTAAAGAATTTTCAATCACAAAGTGCTCTTAACGAGGTGTTAGCTTAATAGCGAAATATTCGGCGTTCGTGGAGGAAATAGGTTTGTTGTGCAATCTTACCTCGACCCCCATGTTGTACGCCAGTCTGATGAGAGGAAGCTCTTCTTGGTCAGTGGTCACGTGAGTCATTAAGGCAAGATTCTTGACCAAACCGCACGACTAAAAAATAATATCGAACAGTAATGCATGATTCCATTTATTACACAGCCAAAAACCATCATGTTGAAGCAAATTTTTAAAAACAGGAGTGAAAAATATCGTGCTGCACACAGTGAACAGTTTTTTTAACAACTTTGTAGAACCATCAATACTATTGCAGCATTACATCAACATTGATGGCTCAACAACGTTCAGTAATCAGTAACATTCTTAACAATAATGTTCATAGGGTGCAGCCATAGAAATAATAGACATGTCTACTGCGACAACCTCATCAATTTTTCACCGTGTAATCCTGGTTTTGCCTTTCATCATGGTTCTAGTGGTATCACTAATATTCAAAATGGCGGCTTTAAATAAAAATCATCAAAATATCGTCAATATTCATTTACATAGCTCTAAAAAAGCTACGGTCGGGTGTGAGATGGCAAGCTTAAAAATCTTCGCAAAATCTTCAATACTGACGATATTTTCATTATTCTCATTCAAAGCCGCCTTCTTGAATATTAATGATACCACTATAACCTTCATGCAAGGCGCTAGGAATATTTAATAATGGGAATCATGTATTGCAATTGACCGTAACGAAAAATATGGCGGCATGTACATTTTACCAGAATGCATTGCGGGCATTAAGAATGTTTGAATGAAAAAAGATGGCAAGAAAAACTCCTAATGACGTGAAATTTTAACACAGGGAAGAAAATAGCTTCCTGTTTTATGCCTGTCCTTTAAAAGACGTCAGTTCGCTTTCTTAAAGGATTTCCGCCCGCAATGCATTCTGGTAAAATTTATATCCGCCATCTTTTTTGTTATGGTCAATTGCTGTATATTGATAAGGTCATATCAAGGCCTACGAGCTAAGAAATAAGTAAAATTAAGCTGCAGTACACCAAAGCTCAAAAACCAAACTGGCTCGCTTTCCGAAAATGTGTATTGTGTATATGGTTACCTCGCCTTCAGGTGTATCAGAGGGACACATTATTCCCCATTGAGATGGATGCAGAGATCTCGGACCACTTACTTTCCGCGTTTTCTCGAACTATATCAAAGATCATATTAATAGATTGAAAAAACTCAGTTTGCAACATTGAACTGTAAACAAACTGGAACGATAACTTGGGGGGGGAGTTGAATCCAGTGCTTTTTACTTTTTCTGGGTTTTGAGCAGTTTTAGTTTAAGTCTTCACATTTCTACACCAAATATAACTTTTCAATAGCTTTAATTTGACACACAGCCCAACGCCTGACGTAAAGTATTTCGTCTCAAAACGCAGAAAAACTATTTTGGCTTCCAGCTGAATAGGGATGTTTGTCAGGAGTTATCCTTCCAGTTGTATAGAGTTCACTGGTTTGCAAAGATGTTACTCTTTTAAAACACAAATCTCTTTGGAAAGATTACGCTAGATGTTTGTTAGTTAACTTCAATGTTCCCGTAATGTTCTAAAAAGCATTATGATATAACATTTATAGTACGCGCGCGCTGATTGGTCGAGAAGCATGTTTGTATAGCATGTCTGTATAGAAACACTAAAATTTTCCCGCCGAAATTGACAAGCCAAGCAATGTATTGAGAATTTGTAATTGAATTCAATTAGGTCCACTAAAATCCTTTACTAAGTTTCCCGCTGATTATTTCTCATTCTCCCACGTGTGTTTCTATAGTATAGACACACGGAAAATGTTTTCTATTTCTTAAATACTAACTACTTACTATAACCGAGTGTGAGATGTGTACGTTTAAAATATGAAACAGATTGATATGATGGACATACCTGACTTGTAACTCTAGTCATCATACCTAGTGCTGATATATAGGAGAGTCGACTTAACACCTGCGAAAAGTAAAGTAATGAAGCATTATTTTCGCGTCTTGTTGGCTATTTCAAAGCCAGAATATAGAAACCACTCAATAAACCTTTTGCGAAATACACAGTCTTACGCCTGTATTCTAAAAGCTCACTCACACTCAAACTTATTGAGTAGGAGATCTTAATCTTCTCATAAAGTTTCAATAGCGGTATTTCCTGCCGAGTAAGGGCTTGATTTTCAGTGATTTACGTTGTATCTTTCATCTATTCAGAAAAAACTTTCTCATTCATCAGCATTAACGAAATTTATATGTCACACTCAATGAGTATGAGTGTGAGTGAGCTTTTTGAATACAGGCGTTAGTCATGCAGTAAGTATATTCTCCGAAATGTGTCAGTTTTTTTAAAGAAATACATCCATAAATGTCCAATACCTATGCAACATGTCCAGTGGTCAAATGGACATTTCCAATGTCCAATAGATCCAATGGACAATTACATGTCCGCCGGGTTTTAGCATGTCCATCGGATCCATTGGACAAACTGAATGTCCAATCGACATCATGAATGTCCAACGGAAATGAGAAATTAAGCTAAACTGAATATGTAATAACCGCATGCTGCTTCAATGCGTTTTGCTTATATTGTCCAATGGTCCAATGGACCCAATGGACAAGCAATTGTCTAATGGACATTTACAAATGTCCATTGGACATATTCTATGTCCGTATAATTTCATATATGCATGTATATGCCTCGCCACTTTTATGCTTCGTTCTTAAAAAAACTCGTGCTAATAGGCTATACCCATAATCTCATATGCCTTGTTCTCAAAAAGCCCGCATTTTAAATACTGTGACACATGTATGCCTCGTTCTTAAAAAAAACTCCGCCGCATTATATAAATACTATGACACATGTATATGCCTCGTTCTTAACTCAAAAACTCCACATAATTATATACTATGACCTGAATGCTTCGTTCTTAAAAAAACTCGTGCTAATAGGCTATACACATAATCTCATATGCCTTGTTCTCAAAAAGCCCGCATTTTAAATACTGTGGCACATGTATGCCTCGTTCTTAAAAAAACTCCGCCGCATTATATAAATACTATGACACATGTACAGGGTGTCCCAAAAAAAACGCAACCACTTAAATATGCAAGAATATTAATATTGTTCGGGTTTGCACCATAGTTCAGCTAAAATGACTTTTAGCATTGTACATGAAGGATTAAGAGCCATTTTCAATTCCCAGAGGTGCTTATCTATTGCGCTTTAGAGCTGTATTAATGTTCTGCATATTTAAGTGGTTGCTTTTTTTTTGGGACACCCTGTATATATGCCTCGTTCTTAACTGAAAACTCCACATATATACTATGACCTGAATGCTTCATTCTTAAAAAACCTGCATTATATATACTATAGGTACATACATGTACTCGCTCCTATAAAATTCCGTTCTGTCCCTTCATTCTTCTCAATAAAACATGCAAAAAATATATGACAATAAAGATGTGAATATACATACTGTTTCTATATTAAAACACGCAAAATATCGCCAAAATATGTATAATATATACCCGCAAGAATATCACTAAAGTTAAAATACCCTATGAATATATCTCATAATATATCTCTGACTTAGACAATTCACACATTGCGTACTTACATCAAATTCGACTTAAAGGCCAACGCACAATCAAATGACCAATCGACATTTCCTCTGTCCATTGGATCCGTTGGACAATCAAATGACCAATCGACATTTCCCCTGTCCATTGGATCCAATGGAGCCATTGGACGCGTTCGTTTCGCCCGTGTGTCAGTCGTCAGGCACCCCGATTGACTATGCCTGACTTAGACAATTCACACATTGCGTACTTACATCAAATTCGACTTAAAGGCTAACGCATAATCAAATGACCAATCGACATTTCCTCTGTCCAATGGATCCGATGGACAATCAAATGACCAATCGACATTTCCCCTGTCCATTGGATCCAATGGAGCCATTGGACGCGTTCGTTTCGCCGTGTGTCAGCCGTCAGGCACCCCGATTGACTATGCCTGACTTAGACAATTCACACATTGCGTAGTTATATCAAATTCGACTTAAAGGCCAACGCACAATCAAATGACCAATCGACATTTCTTCTGTCCAATGGATCCCATGGACAATCAAATGACCAATCGACATTTCCCCTGTCCATTGGATCCAATGGAGCCATTGGACGCGTTCGTTTCGCCGTGTGTCAGCCGTCAAGCACCCCGATTGACTATGCCTGACTTAGACAATTCACACATTGCGTAGTTATATCAAATTCGACTTAAAGGCCAACGCACAATCAAATGACCAATCGACATTTCCTCTGTCCAATGGATCCGATGGACAATCAAATGACCAATCGACATTTCCCCTGTCCATTGGATCCAATGGAGCCATTGGACGCGTTCGTTTCGCCGTGTGTCAGCCGTCAGGCACCCCGATTGACTATGCCTGACTTAGACAATTCACACATTGCGTAGTTATATCAAATTCGACTTAAAGGCCAATGCACAATCAAATGACCAATCGACATTTCCTCTGTCCAATGGATCCGATGGACAATCAAATGACCAATCGACATTTCCCCTGTCCATTGGATCCAATGGAGCCATTGGACGCGTTCGTCTCGCCGTGTGTCAGCCGTAAGGCACCCGATTGACTCATCCTGACTTAGACAATTCACACATTGCGTAGTTATATCAAATTCGACTTAAAGGCCAACGCACAATCAAATGACCAATCGACATTTCTTCTGTCCAATGGATCCCATGGACAATCAAATGACCAATCGACATTTCCCCTGTCCATTGGATCCAATGGAGCCATTGGACGCGTTCGTTTCGCCGTGTGTCAGCCGTCAGGCACACGATTGACTATGCCTGACTTAGACAATTCACACATTGCGTAGTTATATCAAATTCGACTTAAAGGCCAACGCACAATCAAATGACCAATCGACATTTCCTCTGTCCAATGGATCCGATGGACAATCAAATGACCAATCGACATTTCCCCTGTCCATTGGATCCAATGGAGCCATTGGACGCGTTCGTTTCGCCGTGTGTCAGCCGTCAGGCACACGATTGACTATGCCTGACTTAGACAATTCACACATTGCGTAGTTATATCAAATTCGACTTAAAGGCCAACGCACAATCAAATGACCAATCGACATTTCCTCTGTCCAATGGATCCGATGGACAATCAAATGACCAATCGACATTTCCCCTGTCCATTGGATCCAATGGAGCCATTGGACGCGTTCGTCTCGCCGTGTGTCAGCCGTAAGGCACCCGATTGACTATGCCTGACTTAGACAATTCACACATTGCGTAGTTATATCAAATTCGACTTAAAGGCCAACGCACAATCAAATGACCAATCGACATTTCCTCTGTCCAATGGATCCGATGGACAATCAAATGACCAATCGACATTTCCCCTGTCCATTGGATCCAATGGAGCCATTGGACGCGTTCGTCTCGCCGTGTGTCAGCCGTCAGGCACCCGATTGACTATGCCTGACTTAGACAATTCACACATTGCGTAGTTATATCAAATTCGACTTAAAGGCCAACGCACAATCAAATGACCAATCGACATTTCCTCTTTCCAATGGATCCGATGGACAATCAAATGACCAATCGACATTTCCCCTGTCCATTGGATCCAATGGAGCCATTGGACGCGTTCGTCTCGCCGTGTGTCAGCCGTCAGGCACCCGATTGACTATGCCTGACTTAGACAATTCACACATTGCGTAGTTATATCAAATTCGACTTAAAGGCCAACGCACAATCAAATGACCAATCGACATTTCCTCTTTCCAATGGATCCGATGGACAATCAAATGACCAATCGACATTTCCCCTGTCCATTGGATCCAATGGAGCCATTGGACGCGTTCGTTTCGCCGTGTGTCAGCCGTCAGGCACCCCGATTGACTATGCCTGACTTAGACAATTCACACATTGCGTAGTTATATCAAATTCGACTTAAAGGCCAACGCACAATCAAATGACCAATCGACATTTCTTCTGTCCAATGGATCCCATGGACAATCAAATGACCAATCGACATTTCCCCTGTCCATTGGATCCAATGGAGCCATTGGACGCGTTCGTTTCGCCGTGTGTCAGCCGTCAGGCACACGATTGACTATGCCTGACTTAGACAATTCACACATTGCGTAGTTATATCAAATTCGACTTAAAGGCCAACGCACAATCAAATGACCAATCGACATTTCCTCTGTCCAATGGATCCGATGGACAATCAAATGACCAATCGACATTTCCCTGTCCATTGGATCCAATGGAGCCATTGGACGCGTTCGTCTCGCCGTGTGTCAAGCACCCGCATTGACTATGCCTGACTTAAACAATTGCGTAGTTTTATCAAATTTGACTTAAAGGCCCACGCACAATCAAATGACCAATCGACAATTCCTCTGTCTAATGGGTCCCATTGATGACCAATAGACACTTCCTATGACCATTGGATCCAATTGACAATCGAATGGCCGATGGACATTTTCTATGTCCAATGGATCGAGTGGACAATCAAATTACCAATGGACTATAATTTTGTCCATTTGACATCGTGCATCGGTACTGGACATTAATCAAGAAATATCTAAAGTTTTTGAGAGAGATTGTTTAAATAAATTTGGTGAATATGTTGCGTTCCTAGAAGCTTTTATTTCCAATATTATTTGTACCTGAAATTCAATGTCGAGATATATGTATTGAGGTCGATATTGAGATATATATTGAACATAATCAGAAAAAAATAGACGTGTTTGTTTTAAAATGTTTTAAAGCATTTCTACATTAAAGAATAGGAATATATACCTGTGTTACACCAACTCTGTTCATATTGAATCGCCTGATTGTCCAGTTGCCCTAGAGTTAGAGAAATAGCTTTTCTATTGCACGTTTATAGCGACCTGTGCGACGTGTTCGAAACAATATCATATCCTGCAACCATTTTGAGAATAACACGCCGCCATGCACTAAAGCAATATCAACATTGATTTTGAAAGATGATGAATTCTCTAAAATCCAAATGTCATGCATCAATATATGATTTCAAAGTGGCGTTCATTTTTCCTACGGGAAAACTGTGTAATATATTTTTTGAAAATATGTGAATTATGCTCATGCTTTCTGTTGCAAGTTGCCTTCAGTTGGGCAACGGTAGCATTAGTCATCATAATTGTCACATATTTCACCTCTTTAAGTTCTCGCTCGAAAAAATACGGATCTCACTGGTATTAATTCGAATTGATTGCGTTGTCCAACCATAGATCAAAGATGATAGAGAAGAACAAGCAACTCATTGCCCCATGTTTATGTTTTTCAAGCAACTCATTGTCCCATGTTTATGTTTTTCAGCATCAAGTTAAATTTTCCCGCAAGACAATATGGAGTTGCCTAATCTCTGGCTTCTATGATCTAAAATAACAAAGCAAAATTTTGGATCCCAATTTACTTACCGTTGAAATCGCATAAGTAAGTCCTTTCGTGATGACATCCTGTCTCATGTGCTTAACAATATCAAACTACAAAAGACATCAAATTAGAACAGGAATAGCTAATAAAGTCCCTTAAAAAGCATTTTTAAAGGCCAATCTATAGGGCAACAAAAGAAATCGAGCGATGTCTTTTAGGAAAGTACAGTGGGTGTTCAAATACGTCTAAATACTGTTCTCCAATGAAAATATTATTCGATAAAATATCCATAAATCCATTATAGAGCAATGCAGCGCGCCACAGACAGGGAATAGTTTGGTCACTTGAGGTTTCATCCCCCCGTTCCACCAACCCCCCCCCCCCCCACCTCGATATGCACCCATACCTATGAAGCAGCCTAGATTAACTGCTGTATATTTCGTAACGTCCTGTCCTCGCGATCCAAGGAAAATATGCTTAATATGTTAAATTTTGCTTCTACTTCTATCGTGAATTGACGGTGTTTGAAACCGTTTTCGCATAAAAATAACGAATGTGAAAACGCTCGAAAACGTTACCGTGTGCACATAGCCTTATATAGCTCCTCATTTTCTGTACATGCAAGCGTCTGACCGCTTACTGTATGTACATCATTCAAAAAACACTGCAGACACCGCAAATAATACCAACATGCAGGTATTATATCTAGAGCTACTACAAGAGGAGGCTTCTGGACAAAGCTCAGTTGTACAATGATTCTCATCCAGTTGTTCGAGTACATTAATGGGATATGGACTAAATATTTACCTGGGCTGCACGTGGCTTTGGGATAATCTTATCAGCAATAAGCTTCAACTAAATATTAAAAGGAATTAGCAGTAAGTTGAGGGTAAAGTTGGTCGCTTGTTGCTATGTTGCTGGTTTGGTCTTTTCAAGATTAAGATCTTTCACCGACTGTTTTTATATAATGATTAAAAGTATATATGACAGTCTCACCTCATTGTTAAACCGTTTAAAAAGGTCTTCAAACAGGAGTGCAACAAGCTATACATAGAGATAATACATTACACATGTAATACATTACACGGCACGTCAGTTCTTCAGACGGCAGAGGGAACTTCAGGCTTGACATAAATCAGTCCCTAGCTGTTCACACGAGATGTCGGAACGGTTTGGTAGTTGTGTTCACAGGATACGGAACATGCAGGAAAGAAAATGGTAACGATATCTTAACTACCTCAGCACGATGTGAACACCATCTTATCGAGATTGACTTGACCACAAAACTTGCAGTTGGAAAACAAATAAATTGGGAAAAATTTGTGGGAAATAATGAAAAACAGCATTACTACTTTTCGCCCGTAATACTAATTTATACAAAATTCGCACGCGAATATTCTTCACACTTATCAACTATGCTAAGTTTGACATGCTCTTTCCAGCTGTTCTAACTAATATTCTTAGTCTTAAAATTTACTTCAAAGAGAATGGTCCATTGTCATAAAAACACACATACCTGACCCGCAAGTTCCAATCTTTTGTTTCCGTAATAGTCTCGGTCATCAACCCTGACCTATAAAGTATAAATTTTTAAAAATTTGGCAATGTCGTTTCAAAAACTATAAATTTAAAAATATTTATCCAAGAAGTCACCTTAAGTCTACTGCTAGGGCTTCACAATAGACTATTTTATAACAAAGAGGAATTTCGTTTTAGACCAATCCGCAAATTTGTTTTCATTTTTAGTAACGCAATCAAAATGCATAATATATTTCTGGTAAAAAGGTACAATATTGTACATTATACACCTAATGTATACTCTCGAAGGAAATAGTGAGCTTTATTTTCCCAAGAGGCAAGTTTCCCAGGAGCCAAGAGAATGTTTCCTGAGATGAAGTCGAGAAACTAACTATTTCCCTAGGATGTCCCAAACAATATATTTGCTGTGGAATTTAATTTTTTGTAAGAGTCAATGGTCACATTTGCTCCGGCAAATAGCTGTAGCAGTATTTCATAAATTGCAGGATATTATTACACAATCGAAAATTCCATAAATTCAACACAATCACGAAAGGGTTTTGAACACGTGAATTACGTGAATCTGTACAGTTTTTCAGAATTTTACAGAATCTGTCACATAACTGTGTATCTATCGTTCATTTAACAATTTTAGTCAAATGCAGCTAAGACAATGTGCACACGGTAACGTTTTCGAACATTTCATTTTTGTTTTCATGCCAAAACGGTTTCAAACGCCATCAATTTACAATAGAAATTGAAGCTAATTTAACATATTGAGCATATTTTCCCTTAGCTCGTGTGCCCATACATAGCCTAATTGTCCGTTATCTGGGAAAGCTTGGGAGTGGGAGCTGCAGAGTTGCAAAAGATACGGACACGCCGTTCCCACTCAAAGGAACGTTCCGTAAAGTTCTGTGGAAAGTTTACATTGGTAAAATGACGAACTTATTTAATATTCAGCGCAATACTCAAACGTTCACTGTAAATATTACAACACTCTGTACAGCTTGGAATCCCACGGAGGGAAGGCTGAAGACGTTTTGAAACTTTGAAGTGCGGAGCCATAATTTCATGGATTTACTTAAGTGTAGCTCTGACACAAACCTTATCGCTCATTGCCAATATAACTCTTCTAATCATTACTGCCAAATACGCACTTTTGGATCGGTAGTTAAACTGTACAACCTGTAGATAATACCAAGATTATAGTGAGTTACACAGCGTTTCCACAATTGAAGGAAATTTCCTTCAAAATGTCAACAATGAGGGAGGGAGGGTTAGTCGTAATAGGATATATTATGCATTATTTTCAAATGTTTTTTGTTTCTCTCTTTTTCATTACCATCTCCCCATGAGGACAGCCTTATGCAAATAAGTTGTGGAAACGCTGGAGTTACAAGTTTGTCCAGTCAGTGGCAGGGGCATGAAAGTAAAGTATTCACCCAGTGCATTAAAAGGCTGGAGTGAAATTCGGTATGATTCTTGTCTCACGAAAAAGTTATTTGACATGCACGAAGACCGTGTTCTTGCGTCAGAACAGCTCATGCTGCTACATTTTCCTAACCGACTTGAACAGATCAATCAATTTTTCCCTGTAAAACTCTTAACTTGAGCCTTGGGCACACACGTTAAATTAATGGATGAGGCTGGGCAGGATATGAGAATTATTCAAACCGAGGTCTGCTTTATCTGCCGAAGCGAGCCTAGAGGCTCCCACGAAAAAAATGACATGTTTGGGGGGGAACCCAGTGTGATGTTGTAGGGGGGAGGTGCATGCCAGCTACTGGCTCTCCGGGTGCTGTAGAAACAGTCAAGCTATTTGAAAAATGTATTCGAAACGATAAAAGGAGCTAAATATGTAAATTAGGCTGCGTTTAGACTGAGTGCCCAGAACCAGTGCCGAAAGTCAAAACTAGTTAATAAAACATGCTGAGAAGAGTTCCCTGGATGAGTACTACCTCCGGAGGTGCCCGTTCTTAGGCACCGTGTCTATAATTTGGAAGCGTCATGTGCAGCTTAGGCGCCAAAAAAATCGACGGGCACCAGTGTCGAGCACTCAGTCTAAACGTGGCCTTAGATGCGAAGTTTTCACGTATGATTTCACAAATATATTCATTCTAAAATTGTACGCATCTCTGCCCTAGACTAGACGGACATATATCCACATAGAAAAGGCAATACGGAATTATTTAAAGGTTTAATCAAAGCGGTGACTTACAGGAACATGTGCCAATATTGTATGTGCCAGGAGTTCCCTGGCGTCGTCCAATTTCGATCTAACTCTCCCCCACATTTGACGTTGTCTTATTTTGCTGCCAATGTACGTCAATGCCTAAACCATATCGCTATTATTATTTTTTGTGTGGCTTAGGATGCTAAAACAGGTTTTCCTTCAAGGTGTAGCAGCGCTAAATGGACTTCGTATCTATCAAACGGGTCCCTAAATAAGAATAAAGCATTGCCATTTCTTTACTTGTAACTGGGTAAAAATTTTTAATCTTTGAGCTTCCTCGAATGACGCCATAAACGCTGACGTGACACTTTCCTCGCTGCCAATCATCTGCATTATCTCCTGGTCAGTGGCTATTCCCATTGCTTTGAATATAACCACCACAGGAGCATCCTGGGAAAACATCATTAAATGCATAAATATGCTGACGTCACTATCAAGATCACTGAATGGATTTTTTGGATAGGATTCGTACATTTATAAATTTGATAAGCCTGAGTTCCATTTCAGACCGCGAACTTTTTATGTCCCGAAAGGAATGTATTGCGATTTCCAGTTGAGCGTGGGATTGCCAAAGTTTGTTCGTTATGTTTTGTAGTTTGAGAGCAATGTTTGTAATAGCCGCTATTTTTACAGTATCTATTTATAGCCGTTAGTCAAAAACTTGACATTTTTCCAAAACAACTTGGTCAGCGTCCCCTGGCAACATTATTAGATGACGTCACAAACATTGCTTTGAAACTACAAAACTTAACGAACAAGCTTTCGCAATTCCACGCTCAACAGGAAATCGCAGTAAATGACCATAAACAAAGACTTCAGATCGTTAACATTAGGTTCGGCATATGAAAAGTTCGACGACTGAAACAGGCCTTAGAGCAGGCGTTCTGTATGCATGGTCTCAAATTTAAGCGGGCAAAGAGAACATTCACTTGAAAATGCGATGCATCTCCTGTTCATACCTCATTCAGAGAATTGTGACTAAGGTAGAAACGGCCATCTTTTACAACCACATTTGTTCGACTCTTTCTTTCATGAGTTGAACTAGAAAAAAACAGTTTTATGTATTATATTTCAGCTTACGACGTGCTATACTATACTATATACCATACAATATAGGTGAGGGTAAATCAATTATGATTTTTGGCACTTCACTCGAAGCAGGTAAATTCTAGAGGTTTAAAGGGTCTTAATTTCGAGTGGAAATTAAGACCATTTAAATTTACAATATAGATATTTATATTCGCTTGTAACATAAAAAATTAGCCTAAGGAAGTGTTTTTTAATAAATATGAGATTTCTGATCTGTTATGGCCCTTAATTTTAAAAACAATTTGTTGGGTATAAATGTTTTTATTGAGAATTCGATTTCCGTCCGGCACTTCACTCACTACAATATAAATCAATAATTGTATAACCACCTGGTAACACGGGAAACCACGCTGTCACGTTTGTCAGTTCGATAATAAAGTTAATCATCTCAATATATATTGTTGAAATTGCTACTCGCTTACGTTTTCATTATAAATAATTGTTATAACTATAGTACCTCGTTACTTGGCAGACTACACTGCCATGTTTGTCAACTTCCACAATCATACGGTTCTTAGATAACTGTTCCTGGATAAGAATGACTTTCTCCGTTCCGTTCACGATGAAATATCCACCTAGAGCATTTGACAACAAGAAATATTTCAGTAAAATGAGTTTAATCCTATTAGAAAAGCTCCTCTGAGAAGTAAAAATGTTTCTGTGCGGTGTATATCGTGTTCTAGATCAATCTTAAAAGCCCGTTGATAGCGACACTTGCATTGTTCAATCATTTCATCTCAGAAAAATATTCAATGGGTCGCCTAACAACTTCACCAGAAGCCCGCAGGCGTTTCTTAAGTTATAAGGCCTGTTCACACGACCTCAATTTTGTCGCATCCAATTCGCTTCTGAATGATGTTTTACAGTCTATCAATGACTCGCAATGTATATGGGTAGCAAATCAACTGAAGCCAATGACACGTACATTCTATTTCTATACGTTAGAAGTGTATTGAATGCGACAAAATGGGATCATGTGAACAGTCCTTAACAGTGCTATGTTATAATGCTCAATCGGTAAACGGAAAGTTAAGCATATTGAAGGAGTTAGCATCCTCTCATCTTACCTGGATCAAGTGGACACTCGTTTAACTTGGAAAGCTCAAATGGAGTCTTGCCTGTGAGGATACAGTTTGAACTCCGTAACATCAAAGGCATTCTAGGAATAAAATATTAGGAAGTGGAGGGTTAGATAAATACAATCTAACTGTAAATTATAAGAAATATTTTTTCTACAGGAACTTCCCAGTATAGAGATTGTATGATCCATGATAACTGTATTTTGAAATACTATAGTAATTAGACAAATCCATAAAGTTTCCATATAATTTCTGTACTATATGGATTTGCGAAAGTTATTTCTATCATAGCCTTGTTATAGGACAATAGTCGCCATTAGAAACAGCCACCACTACAATTTTCTAATCCTTTTCGTAGTCTGCCTGTCAGAGATACAGCATTATGGTCAGTTAATATCTGTACATGCAGTGTGATTAATTATTTACCTCCCAATTGGCAGTTTATTCCGAACGACTCTCTAAAACAACAACAAATGAAACAATTTATCACTCTCGAGGTACGGTACATAATGTAATCTTAATCTTACAAGATATTATAATTCGTTACGCCAAAATACTAGGTATAAGAAGATTAGCAGCGTCGCAGCCTCTTCAGACCACTTAGAATCAAATGTGGTATAACAACTGCCTAAAATAGACCAAATCACTTCTCGACGTTTCGACCTGAGGACCTTCGTCAGGAGAGTTAGTATGACAACTACCTCATACAAACTCTCCTGAGACCTGAGGAAGGCCCTCATGAGGGTCGAAACGTCGAGAAGTGTTTTTGTTTTCAATCAGAACACGCGTTAAGCCGGTTTTTCACTAGCGATATTTTTCGCGCGAAGGACTTTATTCCTTTGTATTTGAGCAATTTGTTCCAGATGGTTGCAGTTGAGAGCTCTGAAACAAAAGTAAAATGTCACTTCGCGCGAAAAATGTCGCTAGTGGAAAACCGGCTTTAAGCTGGTTTTCCACTAGCGATATTTTTCGTGCGAAGCGATTTTATTCTTTTGTATTTGGGCAATTTGTTCCAGATGGTTGCAGCTGAGAGCTCTGAAACAAAAGTAAAATGTCGCTTCGCGCGAAAAATATCGCTAGTGGAAAACCGCCTTTAGGCAGTTGTTATACCATATTTGATGCTAAGAATATTCAAAGGAGAATCAGGAGATTTTTTTACATTTCGCGTATTTGGCAGGAAAATGATCAAATCGTTAAATCCTATTCGTACCATTCAAAGTTCATTTATTTTATCTTTATATTCTTTAGATCATGCATTGGACTAAGTTTTACGCAGTATTTGGTGATCGGAAAACACCAATTAAGCTCTATATTTTAATATCAATTTTACATTACATATTAAGCATATCTTTTTTATGCTTTGATATGCATGAGCTTTGCAAAACGTTCTTAAAAATTAAACATTCTAAAGTTTCTCTTCTAATAAATACAGCTGAACAGAGAAACCCGAAATTATATAAATTGGAAAGTTTGTTGAGAGATATTAGAAACTGTGAAAAATATCGCGAAAAAGCGTTCATTACCCTTCTTCACCATGTGATGATAATGACGCTATCTTTGCATTATATTAGCTAATTATTTATGTCATTAACATGATATGGGATTTCAATCAAAACTTTTTATCAAACTCGGACGTTCTAACCCAAATCTCCCAAGATCGCTCTGAAGTTGCTAATAATTCATTGTTGAGATAATTTGTTAAATTAAAACACGTTCTTAATTTGTCCGGCGCAAGCTTGTCAAAGTCGAAATACATCGATTGGCTGACAAGTGGTGAAAACGAGGCTCTATGCGTCCTAGTCTAAACGACGTAAACTTACTTGATTTCCCCTTGTGTACTCGATGTCCACTGTGATGGGAGCAGAATATGTGATATCCCGTAGTCGACACTTCATAAAAAAGAATGATTCATTGTCAGAGCTTGTCAGAACAAGTGTGGATCAGGTTTAAAGGTGCACGAGGTAGATTTGTTTGAAGTTAGTGACATGGCGTATGTCAACGTACTGCATGAACACACGTACAAACGTCACATTTTAAGTTTGGTGTTTATTCATATATTCAGAATAGCTACACCTCTGACAGACTTCTATTGTGAACTAATTTGCATCTACTAAAGAAATCCGTTGGTTGAATATATGAATTACCCCCCCCCCCCCACTGGAAAAAGCCATAAGTCACATTCCCTAAACTAAGATTACCTTCCATAAAACACCTTGCCTATTGTTTTGGGAGCAGTAAAGGTTCATATGACATAAACAAGAGAACAGTTTCCCATATGTATATATGCTATATTGTCATCAGCAACAAGTGTAAGTTTAATGCAAAATATTTTACACCAAAGCAAGGTTAATAGTTTAGTTAACCCCCCCCCCCCCCTCCATAAGTTATATTAGCAAAGACACAGGGGACGTTTGTACAAAGGCTTTAATACTGTAAAAGCAATTATTATAAAGACTACTATCTAGTAGATAGCATTATCCAGCTTTCATACAACCAGCCCAAGATATGCCTAACTGTGATGTCATGTGCAAAAGGGCTATTTAAGGTTTCTTTTATTGATCCTAATATTATGGTTATATTATGGTCAAACATATATTTGATGAAACGATTATGTTGGTAACCCCAATGCTAAGGAAACTTGAGGTTAAGGGCTGTATTGTATAGTACCTCATGAGGATTGATAGGTTTAGTGATGTTAAATGATTCTTCCACATCAGGTTTCCCAACTTGAATGTCCAGGTATTTCAAGTACCAAACAGGATCTGCATCTGTTACTACTTTCGAATTGGCCTCGACTATTTTTTTTATCTACAAATATTGTGAGTTAACTGAAGCGAATTATGGTCAAGTAAAAACACACCAGGTTGTAATTAATTTATGTTGCCAAATTTAGATTTGATGTCCAACAATAAACAGCTTTGAAGTGTAATACTGTATATCCATCATGTAATATAAAAAAATTATTTCCTATGGACATCTTATCTTAGTATTAGTAAGTTTAAAGTGGAAATCAAGTCTGTAGCTATATGTATATAAGCAACAGGTTTGAAACATTCTATACAATACTACATTTTAAAATATACATAATGTGCTGTATGAATATATACAATACCATAAGGATACGTACTCGCCTCTACTAAATAAATCACAAATATGACCAACCTCATTGTTTATAAAATGATTGTAAGAATCAATATGCTGCTTCACAAGTCCCTTGCACTAAAAAGACAAATATGACATTTATTAAGTAACAAATTAATAATGGCCTAGGCATAAAAAAGAGTCCAAAAGGTCAAAAAGAGAGTTTCACAAATATTTCGCAGACTCACTGGAGCCAGATTTGGTGAAAAAGAAAAGATATGCAAACATAGTATTGTGAAATGTGAAAGAAATTTGAATGCATATTGATATTGTTCCAGTTACCCTTGTAACATTTAAAAGTTGTTCCCACACTTGTAAGCAATGTACCGCTAGCCAGGCTTGCATGGCTAAACAGTGGGGTGAAAAGTAAACAAATTCCCTGCCACTAATGTGGCAATAGTCAAAAATCAGGTTGGCATTATTTTCCACACAAATGATATTATAACATGCACAGTACAGCACAAGCCATCAGGCAAGCGACATGACCATTTTACCAGCTTCCATACCAGGATATATCAATATTTACAGAAAAAATTTAATTTTCTTTCAATTTTTCATCATATACTGTAATATGACAAATCAAATTAAAGGAATATCTTAGTTATTGTTGATTTGTTATGAAAATTAAAAATCAATACATAATCATCAGTTTATTACACAACCAGTGTGGAAGGTATGTATCACATAACTGAGATATTGGATGGGCAATTTTGATGTCTTCTATTTATTTACAGGTATTTTTTTAAAACTGTGGCTCGCAATTTGCACAATTGCATATGGAAAATTACAACCATAACATATATTAATTATACTGTTATATATACCTGTAGAAATGTTTCCACAAGCTTCCATTTATCCTAATAAAAAAGTTTACACATAGGTTATCTCTGGTTTTTTGTATTTGCTAAAAACGAATTTGCTACCAGGTTCCCAGCAGACACGTAGCTGGGGAGGGGGGAGCCCTGGAAGGAGTGCCCCCTCCCCAATTGAAAATAATATTGACATTATGCTGAAGTGCACCAAAAAAACTGCTCAGCAACTGCTCAGCAATTTTTAGCAGTGCCTCTAGAAGTAGAAGTCCAGCTACGGGCCTGATTACCAGCCAACTGAAATAAAACCAATGTTTGTTACTGGACAAATGGACAGCACGTGTACACATATATTGACAGCCTCACTTTATCAACTTTTTCTAAATTTACAAAATTAGAAACCTGTAGTGTTTTAATGGGTGCGTTAATTCCATCGTTTTGCAAAGGTTTCCCACTCTCATTTACAGAAATTTCAGCATCTCTGCTATCTTTCTCTAACATGTTTTGAGTTCAAATGTGCAAACTGCCCAATTCTGCAAAATTGTAATAATAAATGTCATTTGAACACCGAGTACTCGCGGGCGGCGGAGTTTAGCGTGGGATACTTGGTTTTGCAGCGCATGATAGTACTGTTTTGGTCAAAGGCACTGTCTGAACTCTCAATTTACATCACTTAATTGCGACAAACATGGGCAGCACTTGTTTGTGATCGTGTTGTGCAAACGATGGACCACAAATTAAGGTACAGATTTCAAGATACTGTTCGTGAGAAAGAAGAATTTAAAGTCAGCCATCTTCCTGAAGCATTATTTATCAAGCCTGATGCGCCACCCGATAAAGTTATAAACAAAGTGACTGATAAGAGCTTTGACTATTAAAGGTACAGTAAATATGTATTGGAAAAGAAAATAATATATACTAAACATTGCGATACTAAACATTGCAATTGGCTCGATAAAAATACTATCCATGCCATGCATCAGAGTGTACAAACTATAAACTTTGCCGGCCATAGTCCGCTATCTGCTACCGGAATCTTATTATTCTATCAAGCGTGCACTTTAATCGCTTGTTGATCCAATGAATAACGAATTATTCCTTCCGTCGATATTATGCAATCTGTAGAATTCAGCGCTTGTAACTGACTTCATTGTCATTTGTATCCTTTCGCTATTTTGGGTGGTAATTTGACATCTCAGCCACAGATCTCTATATTACGCTGAATGCAGCCTTTATGTTTTCCAATAAAGCGCCTGGGTACGAGGCTGTTCACGCTACCAAAACAAAGGCCGGGCATGGATGACTGATGGGTAACCATTTTAGCCATCCCGCACCAATAAATCGAGTGTAGTGTAAACAGGGCTTTAAAACTAAACAAATTAAATGAAAGTGATAACGATTGTACATTGTTTAAAAACTGTGGTTTCATCAGACTGCAGAATGTATGGAATGGATTTTGTAGATGAATGTACAGTGTGTCCCCAAAGAAGAACCCTTAGCAGCAGAATAATGATATGAATAGAAGGTTGTACTTTTTTAGGGACACACGCACGATATAAGCAACTGTCAGGGCACTGCATTGGAACATTAGTTGTAGTGAAAGTGTGGATATAAATGCAATTTCTAACCATTAAATACAAAATTACCATAGCATTAAATATTTTTGTGTTTTTGGTAGATGCGAGGGGTTGAATGGATAGTTTAATCCATTTCCTGTGGAAATTCTTTCGGAAATCCGACGATGTGACTTAGTTAGCGCAAAAATTCGCCGCGAAATCGCTTCCAACTTTATCAGTTCGCGCAAATAAATTCGTACAATGGAATAATAGCGCGCCGGAGTACTCCGGATTTTAGAAGCAGTAATGCAGTGGAACAGAACACTGTCACGTGAGAGTTCGGCACTGTTATAATTACCCTACTTTTAAGTAGGGGCAGCTAGAACAGAACACATGACACGTAGAATTTTCACGTGTTTGAAAGTGATAGTAACAGATAATGTGTTTAACCGTGTGATGTTTTGCTGGCCTTATTTAAAGACTTTATCGTCATCCGTAGACATATATCTATTTTCAGGAATGTGATGGCTATACTTGTGAGAGATTCGATGTGTAAAAGTATCTAAAAAGTGCATTTAGACATGAAAATACATTAAATAATTATACTGTGTATTATGCGAACAATTATAAAACGCATGGTTGTTACTTTACAATTGCTTAATATGGTTTCCGTGTTTGGATGGCCTGATCCAAACATGCGGGAATTTTGCGAGAGTTAAGAAAAGCGCGCGAGTAACAAACTGGAGTAACTCTCATGCAGTAGCTCGAGTAACTAACTATATACATGTTATTTTATAAACACACTTTTCGCACAGTGTTCTGAATTATCCAGAACAGTAAATGGAGCAGCCCTCTGGATTTGACTAACTCGTAACCTATAAACACTAAAATAGAGCTGGTGATGGCACCATGGAATGGTAGATATAATATAGTCTAATACTTAATTTAAGTTTAAGTTAATACATGTTACCAAATATGAACATACAGACCACATAAGTACATTCGTTTTGACTGAGAAAGGATTCGTAAGGCAATCATGTATGGTTGTTGGTGTCAAACATTAAAAACTAAGACATAAGAACATTACAGTATTTACAGTATACAAATATGACATTTATTAAATAACAAATTAGTAACTGCCTATAAGCATAAAAAAGAGTCGAAAAGGTCAAAAAGAGAGTTTCACAAATATTTGGCAGACTCACTGGAGCCAGATTTTGTGACAGAGAAAGGATTGTGAACATAGAAATGAATTTGTGAAATGTGGAACAAATTTGAATGCATATAATTGATATGGTTCCAATTACCCTTGTAAAATTTTAAAAAATTTCCACTCTTGTAGGCAACATAAGGCTAGCCAGGATTGGCTAACAGTGGGGTGAAAGGTGAACAAATGCCCTGCCACTAATGTGGCAATAGTCAATAATCGAACAAAGAGGTAGGCATTATTTTCCACTGTGATGCTCACAAATGATATTATAACATTTGAAATCCACAGTACAACACAAGCCATTAGGCAATGTAAGTGACATGCCCATTTTTCCAGCTTTCATACCAGATTATATCAATATTTAAAAAGAAAAACTTTAATTTTCTTTTAAATTTTCCTTATATACTGTTATATAACCAATCAAATTGCAAGGAATACCTTAGTTAATGTTGATTTGTTATGAAAAGCTTAAAAATCAATACATAATACACACAATGTGGAAGGTATGTATCACATAACTGAGATATTGGACAGGCAATTTTGATGTCTTCTATTTATTTACTGGTATTTTTTTTAAAATCTGGCTTGCAATTTGCACACTTTAAAGTCAGGAGGCACACAATGTATATTTTTTACTGCTAAGCCTCAGTCTGTTAACCTGGGTACTTATCACCTGACTTTTATATTGTAATTTCCTATGGAAAATTACAAAAATAACATTATACTAATTACTATTGTATATACCTGCAGAAATGTTTCCAGAAGCTTCCATTTCTCCTGATAAAAAAGTTTACCCTTAGGCTATCTTATGGTTTTCTCGTATTTGCTGAAAACGAATTTGCTATCAGATTCCCAGCAGGCACGTGGCGGGGGGGGATGTAGCAGGGGGGGTGTCTGGAAGGAGTACCCCCTGGCCCCTCCCCAATTGAAAATAATATTGACATTATGCTGAAGTGCAACCAAAAAAAGCAACTGCTCAGCTATTTTTTAGCAGTGCCTCTCTAGAAGTAGAGATCCAGCTACGGGCCGGATTACCAGTCAACTGAAATAAAACCAATGTTTGTTACTGGACAAATGGACAGCACGTGTACACATATATTGACAGCTTCACTTTATCAACTTTTTCTAAAATCACAAAATTACAAAACCTGTAGTGTTTTAATGGGTGCGTTAATTCCATCGTTTGTAAGTCTCCAACGGTCATTTATAGACATCTCAGCATCTCTGCTATCTTTCTCTAACATGTTTTGAGCTCAACTGTGCAAGATTCTGCAAAATTTAGGAAAATTGTAATAATAAATGTCAATCGAACACCGAATACTCACGGGCGGCGGAATTTCGCTTCGGATATTTGGTCTTGCAGCGCATGAAAGTACTGGTTATAGCCTCCTCCGCAAACATCTCTTATGTATTAAAAAATGCATGCAGCGAGAAAACAAATTGAGATGATCTCTCGATTTTTTCCTCGCCTTCTATGACACAGCAAACCCATGCCTAATATAACTAATATGAATACATAATAGATGCCTGCGGGCTAATCTGGTAATTCCACTTGGTCGCTCTATTTGGTCACTCACACTTGCTTGTCAATATGGCTGTATCCAAAAGTCCGTTTATGCTGCGTGTTATAATGAAGACCGTACGCCATGTTTTCCCGATGGTTAAACAATTGGAAACCGATGCCTTGAGTGGATGGATGCAAGACGAAGATACCAATGACTACATAATACTTGTAACAATCCTTTTTCACAGCACTTAATTGCGACAAAAATGAGCAGCACTTGTTTGTGACTGTGTCAAATATGTGCACGCGATGGCCTACAAAGGTACAGATTGCAAGATACTATTAAATATCGGTTGTGTATTTGCAGGATGTTCGTGAGAAAGAAGAATTTAAAGTCAGCCATCTTCCTGAAGCGTTATTTATCGAGCCTGATGCGCCACCCGATAAAGTTATAAACAAAGTGACTGATAAGGCTTTGACTAAAGGTACAGTAATTCAGTAAATATGTATTGAAAAAGCGATAAAACAAACGGTACATAGAATAGCGATAATAAACTGTCTAAACATTGCCATGGGCTCGTTTAAAACACTATATGCATTATGCATGCCATGCATCGGGGTGTACAATTTTGCCGACTTTGGTCTGCTATCTTCTAACGCAATCTTAAGCCTGCCGCACACGAGAGCTATCGCCTCGGGAGGTCATTAGCTCAGCCCGAAAACCATTCGCACACGTGAGAAACTTGCTTCTCGAGGTGGATTCCTCACGAAAACTATCCGCACGATAGCGAAGAAACTTGCTGAGCTAACAGTCTCGCGAGGTCTTTAGCTCAGCTAATAGCTCTCTTGTGCGTTGGAGTGGACTTTAGTATTCTATCAAGCGTGGAATTTAATTACTTCTTGAGCCAATGAATATCGGGTTACCTACTCCTTTCGCCAGGTGAAAGGATCTTTATTGTGGAATTACACCTCCTGCTCTTCATTTACAATAGTTGGTCAACCATTTGTGTCAAATATTGCGTCAACAAAGTAAACAACATACTTCCAGAAACATCACACGACGTTTTCTTTCCGCGAAAGACAATCAATTACAACAAAATGATATGCATGAACATTCAACTGCGGTATCGAGGAACAATAGCATTTGCAGCCAGTCAATAACATAAATGTATTTTTCATTCTCACTCAACAATTTTCAATACCATTTATCAACAAACATTTGCTCTTATATAAGGTTCATACACAAAATTAACAGGACTATATTGATAACCAATGAAGGTTATATACAAATATTCGCATCATCACAACAGTCATTAGAACCACTTTACAAATTATGGCATCATTTGAACCACTGTTAGTAGGCATTAGTTATTCAACTGCACAACATGAATTTTAACCTTGGATTTTATAACCTTGGATTAATTGAACGTGTGATATATCATATATGTTTGCATAAATCTATAACATTGCCCACATTTT